TTTTTTTTTTTTTTTTTTTTTTTTTTTTTTTTGCGTGTGTGTGTGTGTGTTGTGTACACTTGCTTACTGGACTGTTTGTTTGTTTGTTTGCTTGTTGGACCGTTTTGCTTGTGTGTACGTGGGTGTTGTGTGTGTAGTTGTGTCTGCTTTGTAGTTATGCTTGTGTTATGTATGTATGTGTTTGTGTATGGGTACGGGGGTGTGTGCTTGCGCATGTGTACGCGTCAGGCATTTAGAGTTGATTCTGAAGGCTGCCAGAGGTGGAGATTTCTGATGAGTTGCTGAACGAGTTTGTGATAGCTCCCCTTTGTTTGTGACGAGTATGGGTTGTGGCTTGCATTTAGTGGAAGTGGCAATGTAGCAATGGCAGAAAGATCATTTATCCAATGCCAAGCTAAATATTGCTATCTGTTGGCCCTCCTCAAAGCGTGGAGAATTAGGACACAGTCCAGGTGTGCCAACAAGGTGTGATTGTGCAACATTATGCTGTCCTTTGAGTGATGATTATGCTCCCCAGGCCGGCAGCGTTTGACGTGTTCGTTATATTGCCGTGCTTGTTGGTATTTTCGACAGGAATTCAATTCTTCAGCCTGAAGATGCAGATGAAGATGAACATTTTGTGGATGTTCCTGACACGGATAATCCGGATCCTAACAACGGGGATGGTGCTGGTGGTGGTAAGGGTGGGGGAAAGCGAAAAGGTGTGAAGAAAGACGGGAAGGTATCTAGAAAGGATACTGAGGATGATGTGGATGGTGGTGATAGTCACAGTGATGGTGAGGATATCAGCATGGGTGAGGAAAGAGATGCGCTGGCGGGTGTTAATATCGACATTGGAGGCGAGGAAACAGACAGTGATGATGAAGATGGTGATGATGAAGATGATAGTGAAGATAATGGTAGAGACAAAGCCAAGCGCAGTGGAAGGAAAAAGAAAGTAAAGGAAATGAAAACTGAGGGCAAAGGCTACGGAGAAAGGACGAGAAAATCACAAGAGGACGAAGGGAAGGTCTTGGCGACTCGCGAGGGACCAGCAGGAACAACTGATGGTTCGTTTGGGAGAGGAAGTCAGAAGAGGTAGGCCCGTCTGCTAGGAAGGGGTTTGCGGGTTTGAGGGAAAGGATTGGGCGCTACCCTCTCGGCTTTTCAGAAGTTTGTGCATATGGCACCTCTACTGTTCATGTAAACAGTTTATCAGCGTGTTTATTCCAGTGACGCTCAATCATTTAACCACTGATTTGTCAGGGTCTTGTTCGATTTTCAAAACAGGGTGCTATTGGGTCTTGAGGTTGATAGAGGCCCATAATGAGCCCCTGGTTGAACCCACGGCAACCCCGGACCCGGACCCGGACATGTCTGGACCGAGGCCCAGACATTTGTCTGGACTGGTCCAGACGTCCCGTAATTCGGACAGGCACCGGACAACCGGACAGGACCAGACCCGGACCGTCCGGACCTGTACACCAGACACAAAAATGTCCGGACCGAAGGGAAAAAAAAAAGAAAAAAAAGAAGAAGTAATAACTACTAATAAGCACTATTAAGCAATACTAACCACAGCTTATTGTCTTTCACTATTCACAACTTGACAGCTCAATAGAGTCAATACTGTCACAGACATTCACAAAGGCTAAAAAACACTAGAAAGTTGAAACCAGTTCTCAACAGACCAATCCCAAGTCACTTCAGAAAAGAGTACGAAAATCAGAAAGAAACAGAACTTTGAACTTTGAAGGTAGACTTTCTAATTCATATTCATATTCGTATGAAAATTAAAAATTCAAACTGTTAAGGTATTCAGATCTGCGCAAGAACAGATCTGAGATCTGGTCAGGACCAGATCTAAGACGGGATCTCAGATGACCAATATCATCTCTCTCTCTCTCTCTCTCTCTCTCTCTCTCTCTCTCTCTCTCTCTCTCTNCTCTCTCTCTCTCTCTCTCTCTCTCTCTCTCTCTCTCTCTCTCTAGCTTGATGTTCTGTGGCGCTTTGCAGCCAGCGCTTCATTTTCGGAATCGGGCTCAGCAGAGGGAGCCGTTGGAGGCGTCTGGCGGCGTCTGGTAGGCCCTGAAATGGCCAAAAAATACCAGGGGCATTTTTTGGGGGCGGCTTAGGACCCGAAAAACATCCTAGGACCCCCCAAAAAAAAATTCGAATTTTTCGAAATTGGGCCCAGTCCAGACCTACCGGACCAGATACCGGACCCATACCCAGACAACCGGACCGTCTGGATTCCGGTCCGGACGTCCGGCCGGTTGCCATGGTTGAACCCCATTAAGCCCCATTGAACCCCATTACATGTTAGTTCCAGTGAAGCTCAATCATTTAACCACTGATGTGTGAGGGTGTTGTTCAATTTTCAAAACTGGGTGCTATTAGGTCTTGAGGCTGATAGAGGCCCATCATGAGCCCCTGGTTGAACCCCATTAAGCCCCACTGAACCCCATTACACCCCATTCAATCCCGTTGTACCCTATTGGGCTCCACCGAGGTCTTTTGTGCCCAATTGAGCCCTGTTGAGCCGCATTCATCCCCATTGACCCCATGGAGCCCTGGATACCCTTGTTGAATCCACTGAACCACACTGCACCCCATTGAACCAATTGGACCCCGTTGAATCCCATTGAATCCCATTGAACCCCATTGAACCCTATTGAGGCCCATTTGAGCCCCATTGAGCCCCATTGAGCCCCATTGAGCCCCATTGAACCCATTGAATCCCATTTGAGCCCCATTGAACCCCATTTGAGCCCCATTGAGCCCCATTGAGCCCCATTGAGCCCCATTGAGCCCCATTGAATTTGAGCCACATTGATCCCCAAGCAGTCCGCTGAGCCCAATTGAGCCCCACTGAATCAATTGAGGCCCTTGGGTGCTATTGAGTACCATTGAAACTGAGTTGTGTGTTTGTTGTATCCTGAGACCCATCAGATTGCGGTGGTTATGTGACGTGGTTGATACTTACGCTCACAAGGCAAACAGAGCACAAACATAGCAGAAACATAGCAGAAACAGAGCTGAAATATAACAGAGACACATAGCACAAAGATGGTGCAAACAGTACACAAACATATCACAAATAAAGCACGGACATAGCACGAGCAATAGCAGAAACAGAGCACAAATATAGCACGAACATAGCACAAGCAATAGCACAAATGTAGCACAAACATAGCATAAAAGGGAACCTGACCGTTAAACCACCAGTACACCCGGGCCTGGAAGCACTGGACTGTGGGCCAACCTTTGCCGAACCACCAGCGGCGCACTTCTTTTCTCTTTTGGCTGGCGCCGCCAGCCATTGTGCTCCGGTAGGCTAGAGCCGCAAAATTTCAGGAGTAGGCGATGGACGGATTTCTGCAAGGCGGGGGTTGTGTATGAGTGGCTTGAGATTGGTCGTAGATTGAGGGCCATGAGCAGTGCTGACTATGAATCAGTGAAAAAACTCTGCTGGTTGTCGTGAAAGGCCTAATTAGGTTCATCAATGGCTATGAATGAAACATGTGCATTAATTGCCGTGATGGAATGTTTCCGCTATGCTTCACAGAAGTAGCTTTTGATTGTTTTGGGTATGGCAACGGCAAAGTTAGCAAAAGGAAGTTACACAAGCGGTGCGAGAGCGTCTGTTTTGTCATCGACTGTGCTCGTACAGTTCTCCCACTTCTTTTCCTCTCTAGTGCATTTATTTATTCTCCCAGGTTCTTGACTTTACCAGGTTGTTGGCCAGGTGAAACATGTGGATGACTAGAGTAGGGGCGTACCAATTCCGCGAAAGATGACAGTGGTTGATCTGCATGGAACAGGGGAGGATCTTCTAATGCAAGCTATGATCCCAGGCATCGTGAGCCCGCTTTTTGCAATGCAGATAGAGCCTGCTGGTATGCGAATGCCATGACGATACATACCCCCTTATCCCAAACCTTCTCCTCCACCCTTGTCTTTCCTGTATTTCCTTTTCAGGCCTTCCTGCCTTTCCTTCTCAGTCCTTTCTGTCTTTCCTTTTCAGTCCTTCCTGTCTTTCCTTTTCAATTTTGCAAGCCTGGAGTTTGTTTGGTTGCTTGTCAACAAGACTTGCTGATAATTGAAAACGTTGCTCAACGGTTCATTGTTTTCCATCTTTTTTTTTTTTCCCTCTCTCTTTCCGTCTTCTTAAAAAAAAGGAAACGCCCTTGAGATATCATCAGTGAACTGACTAGTCTCAGGTAACTCAGAACTATTCTATTCTGTTCATCTGGTTGCACCTGGATTCGAACTCAGGTTTGTACCAACTGAGCTAGACCCGGTGGTACTCACTGCGTTCCATCTTTTTTTTTTTGAAAGGGCGACGGCCTTGAGATATCAACATTGAACTGACTGGCCCAAGGTTATTCAGAATGTTTTTATTCTAATTGTCTGATTATATCTGGATTTGAACTTGGGACTGTTTTTTGAACTGTTCGTGGATGTACCAACTGAGCTAGGCCCATTGGTTTCTCAATAGAAAAAATATGTTGCTTAACTGTGTGCTTCGCTTCGTGATGGTATCTTGTTGAAATCAGTTGTGAGGGTTTTGACGCGTGTTAAACAAAGGCCTGTTCATTCCTGTTTCAGGGTTGTCCACCTCATACAAAGCAAATTTGGTGAGCAATAGTGTGTGAAGCAGGGTGATTTCTTTTGCATTGCACATTATTTTGATCTTAGTTCGCCACTTGTGGAACGATTTTTCCTTCAGAATGGTGATGTGTTGCTCAAGCGAGTAATGTGCAATGCTGCACATTCTTGCTACAAACTCTTCTTGTATCTTTGTCGATCTGCTTGCCGGTAATTAGCAACCGGACTGCTGTCCCCCAGAATAGATGGGGCTATTGTTGCTGGAAATAAAAAAGAAAAAAGTGCTGCTTGATCGATTGATGGTGAACATCAGCACCTGATCACTATTCTTTACCTGTGTTTCTTTTTATGCAATCTTTAGAGACGAGTGCGTTGTGATGGAAGCGGAACAAACTCGCTTTGTGATGTTGCCCCAAAAAAAAACAAATGTGCGCTATGAAAAGGAACATGTGGAGTCGTAGTGGAACAAATTCGCATCCTAGCAATCTCAGCAGATTGGTAGGAAGCAACTTTGTTCCTGCTGGCGGTGCTACTTTGCGATTATGGAGCATATCTATCTGGTGCACAACACTCCTCTCCCTCGTGTTACCTTTCTGCACAACATTCTCCTCTCCCTCGTTCCCCCCCTCGGCTCTCTCGCTCTCTTTCTGGCACTCCCCTGTCCCTCTCACCTCACCGCTTCCCATCACCCTACCCCTGCTCAGGCTTTTGATCATGTTCCCTGTCTTTACCCCTATGCTTGCGCGGTTTCGGTGTGTGCAGGTGGGAACTGTCAGCACTTGCCAAACATGCTCACCCTGCTGTTGCTGCTATGGCGAAGACATTGCTCTCTGGCGCCAACGTGGTTAGTCTTGCAGACGGTTCAACCGTTCCTTGCTTCACTCACCCCCTTTCGATCTCTGACCAGTTCAGAGTGCGCCTAACTTTTTGGCTTTTTATGAAGAATCTTAGGAAGAAAAGCCATATGACATGCAGTTGCTACAGCATAGTCCTCTCGGTTGGTCTATTGTGGCCTTCTCTATATGGGTTAGGGAATGGGAATAGGGAGGTGTTGCAAGAGGGGAAGCCAATCATTGGCGCTTGGGAGGCGTGGGTGGTGTTTAAACCACCACTACATTTCAATCAAAACAGACAAACTAAACCTTTCAAAACACACAAACTAAACCTTTTGGATGGCTGGAAGGGCAAAAAGAAAGACAAACAGAACAAGCCTTGAAGGCAAGGGTCTGCACCGTTGCACGGCATCAAAGGGCTTGCAGTTCTATCTCGATGTATTGATTGGCAAAACGACCACAACATTTGGTGCTAGGCCGAATCCAACCCTTCTCTGTAAGCTCATTCAGTTGCCGACAAAGCTCGTCCAACACGGCCGGAGCCATCCTATACATTCTTCCCTTTGGTGTCTTGCTACATTGTATGATCTCTATGGCGTGGGCAACCTCCTTGTCTACGGCTCCTAAAGGCTCCTCAAACAGATCAGGGTACTTAGCGACGATGGTTTCTATCTCTGGGGGTGTTTTAACGGCGTCCTCTTTCTCAAAGACAAAAACTAAGTACGTGCCCTCCGCTTGGTTCTGTTTATAATAATTGCAGAATGCTGATCGGCACATACAACCGTAAGTGTCTATCAGACTGCTAGCCTTATACTTCGCGAGTCTGACTGTCCTTCCTTCCTGTAATACATGGTTGAGCACCTTTCGGTCCCCATCAAACTGGGGCTTGGCAACCTCAAGGTAGTACATACCTAACAGCATGTCGAATGGCAAGTCCTCGCTAACTGGGAACGAAATCTGGTGATTAGGTTCCCCACCTCCATAATAGAAGGTGCAGACTACGTCCTTGACGTAGTCATTGACAACAATGCGCTCTTTGTTAGCCATGGTAGATGCTACAAATCTACCCAAGCGCTGCACCGGGTCCCCTAGGTGCAGTCTCTCAACGCAGTTGCGACTTATGAAGTTCCCCATGGAGTCAATGTCTATGAACACACCACGCTTGCGGCCACCTACACTGACCTCCACAACGAAATGCTCCCCTCTAGGACCTCTTGACAGTGCCACCCAAGACTCGTGAGGGTCCTTTGCCGAGCACTCTGTTTCTAAGTCTTCTAAGGGTTCAGACACATCCAACGAACAACGCGTTGTCTGCAGGGTGACTAGCGAGTCAATAGCTTCGGCCAACTCCTGAAGGGTGAGGGTACTTCAACCACTTCAGCATGAGTAGAAGCAGCTATGACTTCTACTGGCCGGATGTGATTCCCTGTTTGGTGCTCGTAGATGCACGACTCTAGGCGGAAGATCCCCCAAAACCACCTTCGGGAGGGATCTTTTGAGAGACTTTCACGTTCTTGCATTTGAACTGTTGATGGCCATATTTGCCGCTGTTGATGCAAGATCCTCACGAGTACCGGTCCCTCCACACATCCTGATCCAGGCCAGCCCTTTTACCCAAGCCAGAATCTTGTTTAAGTTCTGGGCCTGCCCCTGACTTTTTGCCGACCGTCCTTGCCGCGGCCTGCCGCCTTTCCTCTTATGACAGCGAGGTTGCCACCCTCTGCACTCTCCTCGTTGCCTATCTTGGTTTCGTCCACAAGATCATAGAGATCATCGATCTCGGTTTGATTACCTTCAGAATCAAGAATTATCAACTGACTACCCTTCTTCTTCCGTTCTTGTGGGGGCTTCTTCTTCCTACCGTCCGTGACAGGTTGCTGTGCTCCTTCTAGCTTAGCCTCTAAGTCTAAGGTCTTCTTGCTGAAGGAGTCAAGAGTAAGATAATCGATGCTTGCGTCGCTAACCATCAAGTTCTTGATGTTTGTGGGAAGACATCTCAGATACATGGTCAGAAAGACTTGTGGATCATAGCGAACACCGAGGACGACCATGAGTTTCTCCACGACAGTGGGGAGCGCACGCATCGAATTATCTAACCCTTCTAATGCAGCCTTGTCTGCCTCTTTGCTCTCCAATCTAGCTTTATGATTTCTAGTCTGATATTGTCTTTGCAATCAGACTCAACTCTGGACTTGCTCACAACATGCACACTTGAGAACCGATGGCAAAACTGAACTCTTTCAACTCAAAAAACAACAATGAACTTGTCTTAAACTCAATCTTAACAGCTGCACAACTTGCGGCTATGGCCGCCGAACACGGTCTCTACCACCAGCCTCACTCTCTCCCTCACTGTCTCATGCGTGCACGTACAAGAATCACCCTGAATGTCCCCACTCAGCACAGCCTCACACACTCTGAACACTTGTCTTCACCAACAGCTGGGCGGCTATGGCTGTCGTCGTCTTCCTCCTGCTGGCTATGGCCGCCGACATCTACCCCACTGGCCAGCTATGGCCGCTGTCTTCTTCACTGCCCACTTCGTCTCCAGGCACCTGCAGACCTCCATGCACAAGGCACCAATGCAGCTCTTCCGCATGGCTCACAGGCGAATGAATGAATGGCTGGACGCTGCCTGTTTATTTGTACTTCTTCGGAGGTACCCGGACCCTGCCTCCAGACCTGTGGGCCTGGGCCAAAACGTGTGGCCCAGGGAAGCTTCCAGACGTTTGGCCTTCTGGGCCAAAACGTGTGGAACTCTCTGCATGCTCCAGAACCTTCCCAACGTGCAGCCCTTACCCAGGTACATGCTGGCTGGACCCCCCTACAGAACCCTACCGACTTCTAGAACCTACAGACTCTACAGACTTTCGACAGACTCAGTAGAGACTTCTAGAACAGGTTCTCTAGGCCTATTGGTAACAGACCTAGCTGCTAATCTACAGACCTAGGGATCAAGTCCTACTGACCAAACTACAGACTAACCTAAGTCGTAGGACAGGTTTGGGGATCGAATCCTACTCAGGTCACGGGGTCAATGTACAGGGTTAGGGCACAGGTCTAGGGATCGAATCTCTGTGACTGCAGTACCAGGTCAATTGGGTGAAACCGTTTCATCTTTCAGTAGCGTCTCTGAGTTGCTTCTCTAGCTGTAAGTGGAGTAGCTCTGCTTGCTGGAGTTCTATCTCCTCTCTACCATCTTCCCCCGAATATAAAGCATATGTGTTGTAAACGAATACAACACATACCGTGCGTTGGATTCATTTAAAACGCATATGCGTTATGTTCGAGTGAACGAGACCAACTTTGCCTGCACAAGGGGGTCGGGTCCAGGCCGAGTAGTCTCAGTTCTGGACCACGACTGGGGTCCTCAGAGCCTTGGCAAAAAGGTAAAAGTACAGTAGCGACATACCTTTCCATGTTCTGGGTTGAGTTTCATTCCTTTCCCCTACTTGGGCCCTTGCTCCATTACTCAGCAAATGTGCAAAATGTGAATGAATCTTCTGCTAGAACGTGGACAAATACAGCCCTTTTTTTTTGTCTCGGTGACCATGGTAGTGCAACGAGACCTTGGTGAGTGACTTTCTTACTTTTCCGCTTTCTTGGCAGTGCCACTTTCTTGGCTGTCAAAAGCGCCTTCGCGCACGGGGAGAGAGAGAGAGAGAGAGAGAGAGAGAGAGAGAGAGCCCTGCAGCACGTGTCATGACCAGGAGGGAAGTTTCTTGCCTGAAGAAAAGCAGAGAGAGAGAGAGAGAGAGAGAGAGAGAGAGAGAGAGAGAGAGAGAGAGAGAGAGAGAGAGCCCTGCAACGCGTGTCAGTGACCAGGAGGGAAGTTTCTTGCCTGAAGAAGAGCATTTATATATTTATATTGTCACAAAACTATTGACTAAGAGTGTAAGCACGTGAAGTTAAAGAAGAAATAAGATGAGCGAAGAAAAGAAAAATGAAAGGACAGACAAACCAGAATGACACAAAACAGTGTCCTCTTATTCTTTGTTTCACTGTGTTCTTATTTCCTTCAGTGTTTTACAAAAAAAAATAAAATTGAACACGGGATAAAAATAAAAAAACAAAGACACATTGAAATCATTCAGTTTCTCAGTCTTCTTAACGCCTCCTCCACCGTGCCTCTAACGTACAAGGCTCGCCACGTTAATGAAGTTGAGTGCGAGCTGCCCCCATCCCCGTATGCCATAACAGCCCACTTGCATGCTATGGGAAAGAGGCAGAGTGAAGGAAGAGGTGTTAAACACAAGGAAGAGAGGAGAAGAAAAGGAAAACTGATAGGCTGAGGGAGAAAAAAAAAAAAAAAAAAAAAAAAAAAAA